AAGGAAGGATTTTTTTGTATTGTAAGAACTTTTGGGATAGAACCTTTTGGAGATTTTGAACCTTTTGGAGATGTCTAAAGGTGATCAGAAGAATTAAGGCACACTGGCATAAAATTGAAGGAAGTGATCTCATTACAGACTGCACTATTACTGAAACTTCACTGGAAATTTTCTGGAAAACAGTCACGTTCATCCTTTGCTATGGAGGCAGGATTCCAAATTTTAGCACCTCTTCTCTAACAAGCTACCACCTGTATACTTCATTTGTGACTCCCACCCATGAATCACAGAATAGACATGTACAGTATTCCAATGAGCCGACAAATAATATTAAAAGTGAGCCCCTTACTCTAGCATGTGCACCTGGTATAAGTCGTGGACTACATGAAAAACCCCAGATTGGGCAATATTTTGGCTCTGGGTCAAGCTTCAAAGACTAAAAATATGGTAGGTCTTCTGTTATTGTACAAAGATTGAATATATTCTCTAGTCTAACAGGTTCTGTCCCAGTTTGTCCTCCTTGCTTATTAAAGCTTCAGATCTCTCAACCCAGCTGTCTCTGGGGTCAATAACTTCTATTTTTTATTTGAACACGGAGTTTTACATAACCTTTTGTTCTATATGTTACTTAGCTCTGCTGTGTCTGCTTCTTTCCTAGAGGCTTGAGGAAGGGTAGTCTGATGCTGAAAAGCTTGCCTATGTCTATCCCAACCATAGCGTTGGTTCAGTAAAAGGTACCACCCACAAGAATTCTTACCACTCTTCTATTTATCTAGGTACTCTTACACTTATGGTCATGGTCTGAACTTTGTAAATCAGAAAAAAGAGACGATTCAGCACACTATTTATCACAGGGACACACTGATTTCTCATGATGTCTATCAGGGTTATAAATATTTCTAAAACACCAGAACTACTCAGCCTTGCCCAGTATTATTATTATTCCTGTTATTATTGAAAAACTTTTCCAGGCACTTATTTTACTAAATGTTATTCAACAGAAGGTAGATTCAGGTTCTCATGTCAGACTCAGAAATACATTTTAACCAATGAACTCCTCCAAAGTCCACACAAGGGTCTAGTCTTGAGGTATGTGCTGGAAGGGAACTAATTCTATACAGAGCTGGGCTGGATGAATTTCTTCCATTTCAATTTTCCCAAGTTTAACTTAGACAAACTGCCCAAACATGGCATTCCATTATCAGCTGCAATATTTGTTCGTATTTGCCTCTCCAAATTCAGGGTAGGGACTTGAGCGAGACAGACTAGAGCATTTGGAACAGTGTCCCATCTTTCACCTCAGTGATTCAGATCCCAGACCCCAGTGTCCAGGACTGCTGGGCACTTTGTTCATTAAGTACTGTTGTATTCATGACAATGCCTTAAGTCTCGAGTGGCCATGCCTCAGTCATCAAGACATCCATGCTTATTTCTCCTTAAAAACACAGGAAGGCACACATCACTCCTCCTCATCATTCTCATTTTGATTCCTATAGTAAGAGATTCAAATTGCTTGTATTTTATCCCAAGGGCTGCATTGTTTAATCTTCACAAGCTGCCACCTACTGACATACCCAAGAAACTGCATGGCTTATGTATGAGGTCTCAACCACCTGAACATGCAGACCCTTGTCAAAAAGGAACAGGGCTGATGAAACCCTAAAAGAGAGGTACCGATGGCTGTTGGTACCCAACTGTAACAGTGAAGTTTCTTTTAGCAGGTGCAGCCTATCCATCTATGCCCTGAAGAATCATTTTTTCTATTTCCAAAATAAATATGGTTAGAAGGGGCAAAGAGAAGCATTTTTTTCAGGAGAAGGGAGGTTGGTGGGAAAGCGGGGGGGAAAAAAGGGCACCTTCTTCCAGGGTCAGCTTCTTCCCTTTTCATAGTGGAGAAACTCAGAGTTTACAGCAAACAGCTTGTGGCCCCTTACCATTCTTAGCTCCAACCTCCCCAAGCCAACATATATACAACATAGATAACACCTATCACTATTTCTTTCAATATTGCTTGTTTCCTGTAATACTGTTCTTCAGCACCACAAGGACATTTTGTCATTTCCAATTTTACTCTGATTTTCCCACTTTCATTAAAATACAACCCATGCTGTATCATCCTTCTTTATAATGGCATGCTTTATCCATAAACAGGTATGTTAGAGAATTAAGTCCTGTTATTGAGTCTCTAAACTCTCTTTGTACTTTAGCACAAGGCTATTTTGCATTTCTTTTGAAGACCTGAGTCATTCAAATGATTTATAGCTTTACAGAACCATGAAACATACAAAATGTCTTCCATTTAGTGTAGGAAGACTTGCACATTGTAGATGTAGAACAATCGAGATACATGCCAGTTACTACCTTGGCCCCTGTGCTTTTATGGGCACAAATGTTAGCTTAGAGAGGTTTCACAAGGGGAAGGCAAGCTGATGCTAAGGAGTATAAAGCAGCTTTTATGCTCTAATGCTGTGCGCGCAGGAGGCTGGAGCTATACAAATGAATTAAATCATTTCAAGTTTAATTCTGGATGAAGCAGGGTTAATTAGACTAGTTCTGGTATATTGGTATTGGTACAGGCTCCTGCAAAGGTAACTTAAAGCAGTTTCCCCTCTCTTTTTGAAACCACTCCAAATAGGCCCATACCCCAATGTTGCACCCTTTCCCCTCCCACTCCTGGTCAGTTTTGTAGATTGTAAGATCTTTGGGGCAAGTTCTATCATCTTGTGGGCCAATTACCCTCTCACAGATTTCACACCTGTGAAACTCCACAAGTGACTGCTAATTTGCACTGATGTAACCTAGAAGAGAAGCAGACATCTGAAGGATTTATCAATGTACCCATCTTAGATGACTTTCAGATCATATAAGCATTTCTCAGTGCTCTGCGGAAAAAGCCTTATTAGGTCAGGGACTGGGATGACCCCTGAAGAGTGCACCTCCTAGTCTTAGTCAGTGATACTATATATGTTTTTTACCCAGCCCCCTCTACCATCCACACACACAACTTTCTAAGGTGCTCATTTGCATTTTGAATCCTCGCTTCCTTGCACAGCTGGTGATGCAGGTTTAAAGCCCAAGCTCTGCTTGCACTTTAGCTTACACTGGAGCCAGCTCCATCACTGGAGGAAGAACAATTCTCCAATGCCCTTGTCAAGAGTCCCTCGTCCCGCAGGGGGACAGAAATTTTCCTGCATTTGTCTGGGGGAGACTCCTAGAGCACATCAGCACAACAACCTGTGATGTCTCCCCTGACTCCTCAGGTGAGTGTGCAGACAGAGACGATGCAGTAATGTGAATAGGACTTTGATGTTATACTATACTTGTGATCCCTAAGCTTTTAAGGATTCAAGGCACCCCTCGGAAAATGCCACTCTTAGCTTTTGATTATTTTTAACAACAGAAAAATAATAGAGCAATTCTTCTGCAAAGAACATAGAAAAACCACAAGCAAGTCAGAAGGGCTTTGACACTATGGATTCCTTTTTGAAACCTCTGGCTTTATCCTCTAAATCATATGAATCTGTGCTAATATTGTGCTTCACCCTTAAGAGGATCTCACAGCACCCTAATCGAGAATCACTGGCTTATACAGTGGAAAACATGGGTGCTCATATCTAGGAGCCAATCACCAGGGTGCCCTGTGCAGTACAGACACACCCTGGGGGTAGGTTTTTCTCTCCAAGCTCAGGTCAACAGAGCTGCAACATTGTTCTATTTCCATAGGCTGGAATTACTGACCATCAAGCCTTGTTTCATAAAAGCATGCGAGTTTGGTGCCTGGCAGCCAGAGACCCAGCCCACAGAGGACCCCAGCCAGGAAGCACCAATATCTACAGGATGAAGTTGGCCTTTATCATCCAAGTAGGGAAGGCTCAGCCCTGTGCAGAGGCCTTCCAGGTGTGAGGAGTGATGTAACAGGACCAGGGAGAGATGAGGCACTCACATAGAGCGGGAAGGGTTAGGCGTCCTAACAGAAGAGGCTGGAGGGCAGAACAGGGACTCTAGCGTCCACAGGCAGACCATGCCACCTTTCCCGACTCTCCTGTAGTCCCAATGCCTTGCTCCCCACCCCCATTCTGTCCTGCCACAAGGCCCAAGACAGGTCTAGGCTTTGCTGGTGCTGTGCAATTGGATTATAGTGCTCACAGCACAGCAGGGGTTTTTACCCTCTGTGCAACAACAGTTCTAGATGGCTGGGAGAAGTTACTACATCACAGTTTTCAAGGCCTTTCCCATGTGACCCTGCTAGGTGGATGAAACACCCACAAGGCATCCACAGGAGAGTCCCAGGCAGGCACCTGTATTTTGTGAGATCACAGTGAAGATGGCCAGAATTTAAGTTCCAACAGATGACAACTGGGCTACAGCAGTGTATCCAGGCTCCAAAACCTGAGCCATGTCACAGGCAGTGGTTTGGCAAAGATCCAGCCACATTTCTTCCACTGAAGCAGAGGTTTCTATAGTACTGCCAGGCCCACCAGCATAACAAACAGACATTGCAAAAATCATGAGATTTAAAAAACACTCCATGATTTCTGAACCCAGCATTATTACTGTGCTTTGTTCTGTCTTTTTCTTGAACTCCCCCTATTACTGTGCTTTGTTCTGTCTTTTTCTTGACCTCCACTTGCCTGCCTCCAAAGCATGGGTGGCATTTACAGTGTTGTCAACACTTTCATGTTTATAATTACCTAATTTTGGCCCCTGATACAAGAGCTCTTACTGACAGCCTCTAACTTCTCCCTGAACCTTAGATTTTTAATTAACTGTCTGCATCCCATCAGACCAGACCAGCAATTATCCACCCCCACAGCCCTCACCAATCCTGACCCCCTGAAGTCCCCCAACACGTGCCTGTTCTCCAACCCACTGTTTGGTTAAGCACTCCACTGTCCCCACATCTATTCCTTGTCCTGTAGCACACCTCTACTTCTCCCACAGATCCCCAAACCCCCTCATCCAGGGATCAGCAACATACAGTCCGCAGGCTCGATCTAGCCTGTGGAGCCACTGGATCCAGCTGGTGGATGGTGGGGAGGAGGAATGTGGAGGGGCTTTGGCAGTATTCAGCAGCAGGGGGCTTCAGTGGTGTCAAGCAACAAGGGCTTGTTCCATGCCAGTGGGAGAGAGAAGTGGCAGTGGCAGATAAGTCCTAGCACCCATCTCTCTCTGACCTAAGCTGGGTCACTCTGGCTTATGGTTGGAAAAGTTGTTGACTGCTGTCTTAAGCAATGGTTGGCGTTCAGTTAAGACATCCAATGTGACCTTAAACATAACAAGGGCCAGGGGACAGCCAAGAAGTGATTATAATGCTAGTTATACATGGTGACTACTGTCATCCAAAAGGATCACAAGGTGGTTATGAGCAGATATTCTATTCCTCTCCAAAGTGATGCTGCTAATCAGTGCACTGCAATACAGAGTTGAAGGCCAGGATGTGAGGAATAGCACATTTAATTGTGAATATATAAACAATTTCAACTGGAATTTGGATGCAACAGTAGGGTCCAAACTGCTATTCTCAGGACAAGTGCCATAGCGTCTTTATTGTTATGAACTGGACAGAACTTGGGTTAGTCTCCTGTGAAAGCCAGGACCTTGAGTACTAAGTAAGAGGAAAGAGCACCATCTCCTGGTTCATCAGAACTACATCCTGCAGCATCTGGGTTTTCTATGTACATCCGAGTCAAGTACTAGTGTAGCTCAACCCTGCTTAACTTGATGGCTCAGACAAGGTCACAATTTGGGGTAATCCAGAAAAAGTGTTCCAGTACTCGTGGAAAAGTGCTGACGAGGTTTCATCCCAGACAACAGTACTTAAAAGCCTTTCTCTTCAGAATACCCGAGTGTGCAGCTTGTGAAGATAATTAAAAAAACCAAAAAATTAGAAAGGGCATCAGAAACCAGGCATGAAATTTAATTTTCTCTCCCCTTTGCTTGATAAATGGGCAGAGAAAAAGTTATTGGTGGAAGTTTACTAATTAGTGCTCTCCCTGGGTGTGGAAATGGCTGGCAGGACAGCAGCCAAGATGATGGGTCAGTCTGACAGCTCATCGCTCACCAGCGCAGGAAATCGTTCGCCACCTTCACAGAGTAGAGTGTAAACAGCACGGTAGAGATGAGAGACAGAATCCTTGTGATGCAGCCTGTATTCCAGGACTGGAAGAAGCTCAGTTATCATGACCTGGGTGGAAGTAAATGAGAAACAGCACAAGGTTGAAAAGCAGGCATGTTTCTAGGGCCTCCAAGTGGCTGCAGGATATTGTGATCATGATATACAAATTGCTAGAGGATGGCTCTCCTGTCAGATTTAACATTGTCAAAATTGTCTGTTCTTGGCTCCTTGAAGATGAGCTAAGAGGTGCGCAGTTTTCTCAGAGTCAATCTTTAAAATATTCCCATGGGGACGCACAATAGAAATGACATCACTTTTCAGCACATATGGCCATGCTATTTTCACCCAGATGACTTGGCACTGGGAGGAGTTCAACTCATTCTGGGCCATCAAGACTCACGACCTTCTGCTCCAGTTGCAAGATGCAGGTCTTTGACCTTCACTTTTACAACATATATGGAGCAGAATGCACTTTTAAAAAACACTCTACCAAACCCCATTCCACTAAACACCCTATTCTCCCGTAAGGTGTAAACAGAAGAAGTGACTGCAGATAGTGGACACCAGTCACATCACTTAGTGTGCCACTGGAAGATGCTCAGATACACTATAAGTGTGATGCAGGTTTTTATTCCCAAGGTGCTCCACCTCGGAAATAAAAACCTGTATCACACTTATAGGCTCGGCAATGCTACGCTCGCTAGCACCATGACCAAAAGAGATTTGGGGGTCATGATGGACAACAAGATGAACATGAGCCACCAATGCAATACCGCAGCTAGCAAAGCAAACAAAACTCTGGCTTGCATCTACCAATGTATCTCAAGCAAGACCCAGGATGTCATCCTCCTGCTGTACTTGGCCTTGGTGTGGCTGCAGCTGGAGTACTGCATCCAATTCTGGGCTCCACAATTTAGGTAGGACATGGAGAAGCTTGAGAGTCCAGAGGAGAGCTACATGCATGATCAGAGGGCAAGAGAACAGGCCTTATGAAGAGAGGCTGTGAGCCATAGGACTCTTCAGCCTGGATAAGTGCAGGCTCAGGGGTGATTTGTTGCCAGCCTATAAGTACATAAGGGGTGTGGCATCAGGATCTGGGGGAATGCCTGCTCACCAGAGCACCCCAGGGGATGACAAGGTCAAATGGTCACAAACTCCTGCAAGACTGTTTTAGGCTGGACATAAGGAAAAAATTCTTACTATTGGAGCCCCCAAGGCCTGGAACAGACTCCCCCAAGAGATGGTGCAAGCACCTACTCTGGACACTTTTAAGAAGCATTTGGATGCTTATCTTGCTGGGATCCTTTGACCCTAGCCAACTTTCTGCCCCTGGTGCTATTCCGTCGACTGACAAACTGCATTAGACTGGTCTGAGATGCACAGTGCCTCCTGGGGCCAAATCCCGGGTTGCACCATCTGTGGCACTTGCTCAGACTCAGTAGGTATCATATACACTGAATCAACCATGCAGGCTGTGGAGAGGGTCTGTGGACTGGCCTGTGCCACTTATCCAGCTCATGGGGCCAGATGAGTTTGACACCCCTGCTGTAGAATATAGCAGATAGGACAACAGCCAGAGAACCAGAAGCTCAACTGCATGATTCCAAGCACATAGCAGTAATTTCCCTTCCATGCTGTTTCCACACATGTAAAGTGAGGACAGAATGTTTACTGACCTTCTGGAAACAGCTTAGAAGCCTATAGATGTACAAAACCTTATGTGCATGAGGAAATACTAAACATGTATATCTATGGGACAGAAGCCACTTTTCACCATTACTTGAGTAAGGGAGTTATCCAAGATAAGCAAAAATACTGGCAACAGTCCTGCATCATTACAGAGACAGGTTTCATGACCCAATATTAATGTCATACGGTTTCCATAATCCCAGACATTCCTCCCACCTATGTAATGGAGAAAACCAACGTTTAGCCTAGGCCCACATGCCACTCTGTGCTGCTCCCGTTTGGCCCATGTCTCCTAAGCTTGCCACCACCCTGCTCACTGTTTAGTGAGCTGCTTTGGATTCTCAGGACAAACTACAGTATACCCAAGACATCTAGGTAGTTAGGGGCAGGTAAGAGAGAATCTCTTCCATTTGGACAGGCCTTGAATTGACAAAAGCCTAAAAGTCACATTACTTCAGCGACAGGAAGGTCAGAACTTAATCCCATGTAAGTGCACTATGTGAAAGCAGGTGCAGGGGGATTTATCCCAAGCCAGGGCATTTGGGGATAGAGAAGTGCAGCTAGAAAACAAATACTTGCTTTGCTCACGTTCCCTACTCTATGGGAGTTGCCTTTTCAGTATTTCCCATGAGGGTCAGATGACTGGCAGAGTAAAATGCCACAGGGGGAGAATGGAGGTGATTATTACTTGGTAGATAAATCCTACAGGTCAGCTCTGGATTCAAGGCAGGAAGCCCAGCTTGAACGTTCTACATGAAAATGATCTGGTGGCCCTGTTCAGCTTCCAGAAAGCAGGAGTGCAAACTGCTAAACCACTGCAAATAGTTCAGGACAAGAAACAACCCTTGAGCAAGATGGTCTTAGCTACTGAAGAGACTGGGCTCCCTTCTCATTCTTGCAACTGTTTCAGCAAACGTCAATGCTGAGGTCAACAAAAGAGCAGCCAAAGATTTTTAAAAAAGGCACAAATAAAGAACATGGTTCTTGTTCCAACCTGAGGGAAGAGATAACAAAACAGATGGTCAGACAGCTTTTGCTGGGTCTGAATGAACAAATCAGCAGGACCAGATGAGTTTCATCCCAGGGTCCTGAAGGAAGTGGCAGAGGAGATCTTAGAGCCCTTGGCAATGATCTTCATGAAGTCATGAGAGACAGGTCAGGTGCCAGAGGACTGGAAAAGGGCCAGTTTGGTGCCCCTTTTTGAAAAAGGCAAGGAGGACCCTGAGAACTACAGACTGGTTATCTTCACCTCAATACCTGGCAAGTTACTGATGCATATCCTAAAGAAGGCTATTTACAAGCACCTGGAGGAGGAAAGGCTGACTGCAAGCAGCCAGCATGGATTTATGAAAAACAAATTGTGTCAAACAAACTTGATCTCCTTTGACAAAGTAACTACGTGGGTGGATGAAGGGAATGCTGTGGATATAGTATATCTGGACTTCAGCAAGGCTTTTGACAAGATCCCGCAAGACCATCTCAAACAAATTGGAGAAATGTGAGCTACATAAAACTACTATAAGGCAGATAGATAACTGACCCAAAAACCACAAGCAAAGAGTAATTACTAATGGGTCCATGTCAAAATGGCAGGAAGCTTCAAGTGGAGTCCCACAGGGATCTGTTCTGGGCCAGTGTTGTTCAACGTGTTTATTAACGATTTGGATACTGGTATAGAAAGCTTCCTGAGCAAGTTTGCAGATGACAGTAAACTGGGAAGGACTGTGAACATGTTGACAGACTGGAAAGATGGGCTAGAGCTAACAGAATGAAGTTCAATATGGACAAATGCAAGGTGCTCCACCTCAGGAGGAATAATCAAAAACACAAATACAAAATGGGAGACACCTGGCTGGAGGGCAGCACTATGAATGAGGATTTGGGATTCTTGGTAGACCATAGTCTCAATATGAGTCTGCGGTGTGATGTAACTGCACAAAAGGTGAACACAGTTTTGGTATGCATCAATAGAAGTATTAGATGCAAGACATGGGAGGTGATAGTGTCTCTACTCACCACTGGCTACACCTCAACTAGAGTACTGTGTGCAGTTCTGGCTCCACATTTTAAAAAAGACATGGAGAAATTAGAGAGCCTCTAGAGGCAGGCAACAAAGATGATCAAGGGTTAGGAAGGCAAGTCATGAGGAGAGGATGAAGGAGCTATGCACATCCAGCTTGTGGAAAAGGCACTTAAGAAGGATGTGACAGTAGACTTCATATATCTGAAGGGCTGCCATAAAGAAGAGGAAAGGCACCTTTTCTCTCTTGCTGCAGATAGGATGAGGACCAATGGCTTGAAGTTGCAGCAAAGTAAGTTGAGATTGGATATCAGAAAAAACTTCTTTACTGCTAAAACAGTGAGGCAGTGAAACAGACTGCCTAGGGAAATTGTGGACTCCCCCTCACTGGAGGTATTCAAGAAGAGGCTGGACAGCCACTGTTTGGGCATGATCTAGACATAGTTATGCTTACATTCTACCACGGTTATTTCTTGTGCTTCTGGGCTTTGCTGCTTGCTCCTGCCCCCTTTATTGCTATATGTGTCAGGGTGTTTTTAAGCCTTCCCAGAAACATTGGGTATTAGCTGTAGCCAAGACTGGGACTTTGACTGGGGTGTGCCAATGCTCCTGCTGGCACCAAAGCCAGAGGTTCCTGGCTAGGGGGTCTTGCCCCTCCACTCAAGGTCAGACCATTCATGGTCAGATTGGTATGGACTATGGGAGTTTTTGCCTTCCTCTGTAGCGGGGGACATGGTCCTCTGCCCATAATCTCTTGAGTGTACATTGACAGCATTTTATAGAACCAGAACGTTGGCTGACATGGTTCCCCTGCTTTATCCATGGCACGCTAGGGTGTTAGAGGTCTATGTTGCGTCAGTGTTAGGGGTGCACCAATAGAGATTTTTTAGGCTGATACCGATGGCCAATTTTTAATGAGCTATATCGGCCAATGCTGATACCGATTCAACTGCTGATAATGTAGCTCCACAGCTTGCAGAACAGCATCTGGCTGGTCAGTCTGTTGTGGGGGCTGGGGTGGGGGGAGGAAAGAAATGTGAGGGGGGCAGATCAAGGCCCCTGCAGTGAGAGGGAGTGGGGAAGGTGCTGCCCAGCCAGGGCAGGATGCGGGACAAAGCTGTGAGCGGCTCGTCCAAGGGGCACAGGGAGGCACCTCCTGCTGCTGCATGCACCTTGAGAGGGAATGGGAGGTGTGTGCCCCTGAATCTGCGCATGGGGCAAGGGTGGGCTGCTGCTGCGGGCTGGGGTTGGCTCTTCCCGCCAGGGCGAGGGGGGAGCTGGGCTGGGTGGTGGCGCTGGGAGTTGGGGCTCGTGGGGGCTACAGCGAATTTTGGGGTGGCTGCAGCCCTTCTGCCAGCACTGCCACTGCCTACTCCAAGTGCAGCTTGGCCCAGCCCCACACTGGGAAGAGCCCAGCACAGTCCCAGCCCACAGCAGCAGCCCACCCCCCTCTG